TTGCATGACGTTCATATTATTTTGAAAACAATTCGTGATGATAGAAATCCAACATGTCAAGTATGTCAAAGTGCATGTATGTGTACTTCTGCACCGAACTGCACTGAATTAATTCACTGCGAGCGCCAACTTGAAAGATGTAAACAAAATGCGCGAGATCAGGAGGAAAATAAAATTATGTAACAAATAATAAAATGAGAATCTTATTCTAATATAATTTGATTAAATCTTTGATTAATTTCTGATGAAAAAAATTTTTATACCATAACATTTTTAAGAATTTTTCATATTTTAAATTTATAAAGATTTCTTAAAAATACCTTAAACTTTTTAAGATGTAAATCCAGACAAATTTATTCTTAAAAAGATGTAAATCCAGTCAATATTTCCCAATCAGCATACAATATTTAAAAAATATTTTTTAAATATTTATTAAATATTTTTACATTAAATAAATATTTGAAAAACGTTTTAAAAACATTGTTTGCTGATTGGGTTATAAACATACGAACTCAATAAACAAGAATGGATTTAAATTGATTGAAATAGATTCTCAACATTTCTAAAGTGTTCCAATTCGTGTTAAAAAATTGGAGAAATTTTCTAAAAAATTATAAAATTATATAAAAGTTTTGAAAAATTTAAAAACCTGAAAATTTATATGAAAAATTCTAAGAAACATTTTGCCAGAAATATTTCTAATTTAGAAGTTAGAAATCCAATATAAAATTTAATATAAAATATTTTGTCTTTTATCAAATTCTGTAAAGAATAGTTGAATTAAAACAGTTAATTAACTTACATTCTTTAAAGCATTCTGAATTATACTAAACGGAAAAATCTTTTTAATTGTACCATTTTGTAATAATTCATCGAGTTTTATATTACAGATAAAGAAATCACAGTTTAAACTACTTTTTATAGAATTTGGTATGATATTGATTTCTATCAATTATGCTATCAATTAGAGGACAAGTTAATCCTACAGTGAGAAAAGATTTTTCTAATATCATAACATTGATTAAAGAAATTTTAAAAAGTTAAAATATACATACTTAACGTGTCTTTTGTTGTAGAATGTCACTACCCATAGTATTTGTGACGGGTAACGCGAAGAAGCTGGAAGAATTCATCGCTATTTTGGGAAAAGACTTTTCTCGACGAATAACGAGCAAGAAAATTGATCTGCCTGAATATCAGGGCGAAGTAGACGATATATGTCAAGACAAATGTCGAGCCGCAGCAAACCTAATGAAAGGCCCAGTGATCATCGAAGATACATGTCTCTGCTTCAACGCACTGAAGGGTCTTCCGGGACCATACATTAAGTGGTTTCTCGAAAAACTAGGACCTGAAGGTCTTCATAGGATGCTCTACGGATTTGAAGACAAATCGGCGGAGGCGGTCTGTACATTCGGTTATTGTTCTGGTGAAGACTCTGAAGTTCATCTATTTCAAGGTCGAACTCAAGGCACCATTGTAAGTCCGCGAGGTTCCAGGGATTTCGGCTGGGATCCTTGTTTTCAACCGCTAGGCTACGACAAGACTTACGCGGAACTGCCGAAAGAAGAGAAGAACAAAATTTCTCATCGTAGCAAGGCAATAGAAAAATTAAAAGATTATTTGTTAAACAATGAGGATATTTAATTTTTACAGTATATAATAAAATTACTGTTATAAAGGAAACTATTATTTTTTCTACACTGGAATGTAAAAAAACACTCTAGGTGATTGTTCTCCGGTTAATTATATTGTTAAGATGTACTTTATAGGTATTTATGTTCTTATGAAATTCGTTTATACTAATTTATTATAACCAAGATAATTTATATTAATGCAATTATGTTTACGATTCTTCTTAATCCTGGAGAGCGGCAAGTACGCGTTGTTTTGTCTTCACTTTGTAATTTACACTGTGACCTATAATGTTAACGTTCGATATCCGTTCAATTTATCAAAGGTGATTCTTTGCCGAAAATAAACATTTCGTCTTGTCACAGCGATAGCCGTTGGGCAGCATATGGAATAATTTGCTGACAACCTTGAAGCTACCATGAGATTAGACTCACTATTGTGAGACTTTCTCACGACCGAGAATCTGATAATTTTAATTTCGATATGTCGCACGAATGTGTTAATCAACAACTTGCAAATCTTACGTGACGCAATAAATTGAAATATGAAATTATATTTCTTTTTAATCATGCGGTGGTTGATATTGTTAATCATGTAAACCGATACTTCTCGTATGCAAGCACTCATGATTAGAACTATAAATCATGTACAATAATAACTAGATTGCCGGATGGATGGGTTACCGCCACTATCTAATTACTTTTTTTTTACCAATAACGCGATTACATGCATTATGTGAATGAGATAGACTATAAATTGGTTACTGTGAGATGGTACCAGTACTAAATGGAATTTAAATATGCCAGTCGAATATTGAACATTCAAAAATGACACTTCTCTAAAATAAAATATAGGAAAAAAATAATTTTGTACACTTTAATTGTATACAAAATTAATAAAAGTATATAACAGTATTACACATAGATTTTATAATGCCATTTAAAAATTTTATTTGATGCAGAGGAAAAGGTCGGTATTTTTAGTTGATTCTTATATTTAAAATTCTTAAGATTCTTATATCTTAAATATAAATTTTAGATATCATGAGTCGAACAGAATTTATCAGAGAGCCGCGTTAGCATCTTAAGACATTACTTAAGACGGCCTTAAAATAAAAACGGACTATGAATACTGGCCTAAGAAAATACATTTGAATTCAATAAGAAGAGAATACTATATTAGATTTATCTTCAGCATAATAAAAATAATCATTATATACTATATAATGATTATTATTATAGTATGTATATATAATTATTGTTTAAAAATATAAAATTATAGATAAAAATAATTATAATAATACAAAATATCTCAGAACTATATCAGATGTTTTTAATGACAAATTTTTTGGCCAATTTAAAGTCAATATTTCCTTATTAAATACTTCAATATTTCCTTAGAAAATATTGAAGTATTTAATAATTTTCAAGATATAAGAAATTGGAAAAGGGACTTATTTCACGAATTAACTTTGAAGAATCAAATAAATACTACAGTCTTCAGTATCATATCAGATGAAGTTTACTTTTCAATACAGTTAACTTTAATTCGATGCATAGTTACAAAATATATGATGCAAAAAATCAGAAAATAATAAATTGTGACTTCTCTCGATATTTTTATACAGGAAAAGTCGAGTCCAAAGAATCTGTCAATCTATCAATAAAAGGACATTCGGTCGTTCAAAAAGACAATCAGTATAACAGCGGGACAACAGATAAATATACATGTTGGTGTATTATTATTACGTAAAACCGCTGGTAAACAGGCAATCATTTTTTGCTTTTTATCAAACTGTCAATGATTATTTAATTTATGCGATCAATGAAAAAATTATTCAATTATCTTTGCAGCTATAATTACTCGTGATTATCTTAATTAATCAAATATATTATAAAAAGACAAGCGAGAAAACTATTAAATAGCTTTGCTGCAACATGAAACGCAAGTAATAAAAGAGAATTTAACTTTAATGATTGATAAACAGAGAAACGAGCGAATTGCTTATTAGTTTCTACTGCAATAAATACATCTTTTGGACATATCTAAGAAAGGGAAGGTTCAAATCTTCCTGAAATTTTTAAAATTTTTCATTATTAATTATAAAAAAGTGCAACTTTTTTTTATTCTTAGTAAATTTTTTATCATCACATAAAATCTATTTTTCTTATCATTATGTTCATGCAAGTCGTGTATATCTGTAACTTCCACTAGTTATAGAGCTTTAACTTTGACAGAGTGCCCGATTTTCATAAGAAAAATTTTCGCAAAGTTTTTAAGTAAAATAGAATATCCACTAAAATATTAATAAGTACTCCATTCACAATTATACATTTCGTTTTTAATACAACTGTATTTTATCAATACTTTTTTCAGGAAAAAAAATAAATGTTATGATTTATAAAACTTACTATTTTTCTTGTTCAAAAGCAGGAACAAGAAGAAGACATTCTATGCTTAAAATATAAAAAAAGCAATTCAATGATGCATAAAAATTGTTGTTTATGTGATAACAAACTTAATAAAAAGCCACTTCCAAAAAAAATCCTAGATACGTCCATGCATTATCTTCTTTATTATGTAAATTTTGTATCTAATATATCCTTTTTATCGTTTCTATGCTAACAATCACAATAGATTTTTTACATAAAATTATAATGCCATTCTTTTAGTGAATTATTTTAAAATTAATAATACGCTTTCTGTATAATCTGCTTATATCGATCTTACCAAATAACTTTTTCTATCAAGTAACCACTATTTCTTCTAAGCACTTTTGTCCCTGGTATCTACATCTCGTCTTCGCAAAATCGACCTCTTACAAAATTGATGCTCTTTCCAATACTTCTCATTCTGTTTACAGACTCATTGCGTTTATCTGATTTTTTATCTTACCGTCAAAATGCCGGTCACTCGGACTGTAGAAGTATTTGACAATCATTCTTTTCCGGTGCATACGAATCACTGGGAGCAGTGATAGGATGACACGTGATGCATAGCGTGTACGCAAAGATAAAATCGCGAATTGCGTATGTAATTTAAACAGACAGAAACGAAGTTTTTCTTGGTGTAGAGAATGATGAAGGAGTGCCGAGACCAATCACGATCAGTCTGATATACGAATTATTTTTAATATACATACATGCGTTTTTAATGTGTAAATAACTACTGGGGCTTGACCCCAAAAAAGTTATCTCCTTGATTATACCGGTACGATCCTTTTTCTCTTTTTCTCCGTAACGTGTAACACCCTTTCATCGCAGGGTTATCGCCTTGCCTGCACTTTTGAATTTTACCGGCAATTGGAGAACTTTGCGCCTTATAAAAGCGGGAGGATCTCGCGTACGCTACCAGTCTTACATCAGGGGCCACGCTATGATGAAAGCCCTTACTGGTAAGTCGCCACCGAATGCGAAGTCGTATCTACTTCTGGGTACCTATCATGGAACATGTTGGAATGAATATCGATCTGAATTAGGTATTCCGTTTTCTCTGGAAAACGCAATAAACATCTAAGAAATAATTAAATAACTTCGATTGGAATTTATTCCGACTTGTTCCATGATAAATGCTTGAATCGGTTTCGCGAGTTGCACTTCAACGGAGTTTATCTTTCCTTTTCTTTTGTAATTCGACAAGTTCGATATGTATAATTGGAAGAAACGCAGATATCTTGTCCAATTTCATATCAATCTAATTGTCATCATTTACCTTTTCTCAAATTATAAAACATTGTTTTCTACAACTTCATATTTTTAAAAACGTCTCGAAGAAGAAAGAAAAGTTTTTTTGTAATTTGTAAATTTTAATAAAGAAATACCTGAGGAAGTAATTGAATTTACATAGCATTTTCAAATGTATATTAAAATTTTACAGTTACTTAATGAATATATTAATTTAAATTTAATATTTCCCCTTCCAACACACACACACACACACACACACACACACACACACTTCTCTTCACAGATCTTAAATATTTTTAATACATTGAAGAAGAATGCATTATATCATGTATATGTAATGAAATTATGTTTTCAGTATTTTTGCTGTGCTTAACATCCGCATATGCGGTATCAGGTAAGAATTTATATCTATTTTCTTATTTCTATTTATTTTTCTTATTTTATAAAATATTAAAAAAAACATTTACAAATTGATATAGGCAAATTGTATTCTATTCTAAATATTTAATAATGTTACATTAATAATAGTAAAGTCATTTCTTCAGTAAAATTAAATTATTTCCACGTATCTATTAATTCGCTGTATCGTGGATCATAAATGATAATAATTCAATGCACACTTTAATGATTTATTAAATGTAAAATTATTTAGACGTCTTTCTCAAAATTACAGATTATTATATTTAAAAATCGATAAAACGATACTTGCTTCAATTAACAAATAAGTAATAAAATAATACAAACAGAATACAATTAATAATATAGACATAAAATGACAGATAAATAATTTACGACAATTCGATATATTTCAGTACACTTTCCTGCTGAAAAAACACTGATTTACAATTACTATGCCGACGTAAAAGCTGGGACTGTCGAGCCAGCGCAATATGTCTCCCAGTTCGCTCTTACTGGGCAACTTCATGTAAAGAAGGATACCAGTGATCCGACTTTAAATAATGCTTATTACATCAAATTAAACAATTTAAAGTATGGCATGTACAATGGCATGGTTGTACATCACCAACCGGTCAAAGTTCTTCACGAACTCGGAGAAGCCGCACAGCAAATTCAAGAACCGTTCGTGATCGTTTATGATGAATCTAGCAAGGTAATGTCCGAATTCTTAAGGCGACTTTAACATAAAAATCGTTCATGAAAGACGAGTGACTCGATTGAACATTTGATTTCAGCTCCAGGGCATCAAAATGCCAGAAACCGAGAGCGGTTGGTCAAGGAACATCAAGCAAGGTATCGCCTCGATGCTGCAATTGGATCTGGCTCACATCCAGATGCAAACCCCATTGAAGCCGCATGGTTTCATCACGCATGAGGTAGGTAACGACTGATGGGAACATCCAGCAAAAGCGTGTCTTTCAAAATGTTCTCTTTGGTTGTTACCACTAGAACACCATCCACGGTACCTGTCAAGTCGCCTATGATGTCCACCTGAAAAACTCGACGAATTCAGAGAACACCAACGTCTTCGTAGTCACGAAAATGCACGATTTACGAAACTGCAGTCATTTCGTTCAGCGTGCCTTCGATTACTTCGAATGTGAGAAGTGTCATATGGAGTCTGTGGTAAATTCCTATCACTCTGTCTTGACAACTTTGTCTATTAAACATTTATTTAAATTCTAGTTGAACTGAATTATTATTAATTTATTTTTCTTTTAAATTTTAGGATGACATAACTACTTTCGCCAGAAGAGTCTTCGAGATCAAACGGCAGGATAATGAAATCTTCGTCGAACGTCTAGTTGCTCACTCAACTATTAATTATTTCCCTTATAATAGTCGATCTGAATCTCACTACCTCTTGACCAAGTAATTATATCAATAATCATTGTACTGTATAATTGTATTGTACGCCAATATGATCCTATTAATTTTATTTATTATTTCAGCACTACTTTGGACCTACATTCCATAGTACCAACGACAGAAGTTCCTGTACTGGCTGTTCAGAACGTGCCTATTATTCGCGATATTACTTTCAACAAGCCGTTGGGAAATTACGCTCTCCATGCTGCCGAAGATCTTACTCATGGTCGACATATTGTGAAATTGGATACGCTTATCCCTAAACTTAAAAAGATGTTGGTCGAAGCTGCTGACTATCTTGAAGAAGATCACTTGGAGGCCAAAGAACCCGAATGGAAACACGGGCAAACCATCAATAGACTACAGCACACTATGAGCTATATGGATCTAGGTTCACTGGAGCAAGTTTACAACGCTATTCAGGATTCGAAGACGCCCAAGGAAGACACGATGAGGTGAGTTATTTGCAATTATCTCTTATCCTATGGAGTCAATTATAGAAATTCAATTTAATACTAAAAGATAATGATTAATCACTTATTTTAAGTATAAGTAATTAATCACTATTTTTCACACAGTATTAAATTTCTGTAAGGTAGCGTTAGAATTAAAAAAATAATTTGTTCTAATTTTCTTTTGAAAAAATTTAATTTGCACAATTTTGTCTGGTGCGACGAAATAAAACGATAACTATGATTTTAAAGGAACATCTTCTTGCGAATGATTCCAACCGTGGGCACGACCGCCGCCTGCCACTTCGTACGCAACGTCGTTCGTAAGCACAAAGTGAGCGATAATACTGCCGTCGATATGTTGAGGAAATTGCCGATGCATGTCAAAGTACCGTCTGAGAGATTGCTTCTGGAAATGGAAGACCTGTTGAAATTAGGTAGCACTGTGTCACCGCAAGTTAGAAAAGCCAGCATCCTTTGTTTCTCTATTTTGATTCGTAAGACGTTCATGCATCAGCAGAGTGACATCATCAACCCTCTTCTCGAAAGATATCTTCACCGTTTCTTCGATCATGTCAAGAGTAAGCATTGTATTAAACATCAAAAATACGTAGCAAAAAATGTTACATGCTTAAGTACAAATATTTATTTAAAATGAATTTTTATCAACCGCATGATCTAATCTATATATATATTTCTACTCTAACTCTTTTATTTAATTAAATTATTTCTAATCTTTTGGTACCACACTACGGGAATAACACGCTTAAGTATGCAATACCAATTGCTTAAATCACTTTTATAAAAATGAACATATTAAAAAAAAAATATTTTTTTGAAACGTCAGATATTAAGGAACATAACAGTATCGAGAAAATGTATGTACCTTTATTCATAAAAAAAGTTATAAAAAAAAGCAATGGAAAAAGCATTGGAAAAGTATTAGAAAAAAAAAGCAGAATATCATACCCAGAGTAGCACCGAAGAGTTAATAATGTATACATTGATCACAGAATTCTTTTCACAAATGTTTCAGACGAGCAATCATACGAGATGAAAGTGATATATCTTATGGCAATGAGAAACGTGCAAGTGGGTAACATCGAGAAGCTCTTGGAGCCAATCATCCGTGGTGAAGTTATGATATCCGAATACCCATATCATATTCGCGCTCAAGCAATCTGGGCCATTAAGAAGGCAGTCTCCGATAGAGTCGAGTATACTCACAATCTGCTCTGGCCTATTCTCGCTGATGTCACTCAACCGTTATCTATCAGGATTGTCGCCTATGAAACTTTAATGAGCCAGATGCCGGACATGCAACGTATCATGAATATCTATTGGCTCATGACACAGGAGCCGAACAATCATCTGTACAACTATCACTTGACTACTCTGAAAGGTCTCGCTAATTCCGTGGATCCTTGCCTCACGCCAATTCGTGAAATGGCTAGGAAGGTTTTACGCTTCACAAGGATCAGACCGGTTACCACTCAACTATCATCTAAACAATTCGTCGACTATACAGATCCTATGTATGAATTTGGTGAATCCTGGAATACCGCATGGATTCTCGAAGAATCGACCGGTACGCCCTACGCTGGATACTTTGAATATCACAATTCACTCGCTCGTAAACCTACCAATAGAATGGGTGTAAGTAATAATGTACCAAATCATCATAAACTTTATAACATATGAAGCTTTATAATACATAAAAGATTAACACGTCTCGAAAAGTATAGAAATTAAAAAACATATTGCATAGTTTATCGATTTCATATATATATTTTTACCAAATTTAAAATATAATATGCGAACAACATATATTAGATTTATACAAATTTTCTTCAGATCTACTGGAGCTCCCATGGCTTGGACGAGATCATGAAAGTGGTCAAGAAGGAATTAATTGGCACCTCCGTAAACAATCTCACCAACAAGAACGTGCAAAACATCTTGATTCGTGCCGCACAGGACATGCCGATGAAGAAACCTGTTCACTTGGATATCTGCATCACGCTGAACGGTCTTGTTGTCCTTTTCAATCACTATGATCAGAACACCTTCAAGAATATGTTCGACGACGCATACCAAGCGCTGAAGCAAACAGTGGTTGGTAATATCCAGGAAATCTTATACGACACCCTTTACGAGGTGCAAGTGCCTACCGACATGGGCCTGCAGGGAGTTTTCAATACCAAGATGCCTCAGCTGTGGTCGTTCAAGTTCAACAACGTTCAAAACGAACTAAAGAAGCCGTCAATGAACTTGAAGCTTGATGTCGACACTCGCATCTGGAGGCATGGTGAATATGTCATGTCGATTTACAACCCGATTGTCGACGTTTGGCACTCAGTTCGTCGCGCTACTGTCCAAGATATTATCTTGCCTATGCAAATGAGCATCGGTTATAATCACGAGGCGAAGAGTCTCAAAATCACCTTGCCGAGACTACCTGTCACTAAACAGTCAATCACCGGAATACGATCCTACTCGAAGAACTTGGTAACCATCACCGAAGACGAGCAAGATGTTCTCAAGACCTGCTGTGCTGATTGTCTTCATCACACGGTCGTCACTACCGGCGAGAAGAAGAATCGTCACGTCACCATGGATTCTAAAGACGTAGGTCTTAAATACAGCATGTCAGTCTTCGATTGCGAAAATGAGATCACTCAGATGACTAATGCCGAGGAATGGCAGCGTGTATTCTCCGCGGAACACAAGAACACTTGGTAAACAATAGATTAGAGTACAATATAATCTAATTAAGTTGATGCAATAATCTAATTGAATCGATACATGTCGCTGCTGATAGCAACAAGTCCCTTTTTTGAAAAAATATTTTTAAAAAAACATAATTTACAGTTAAATCTAAGTTTTGATTATCGATGCAACTTTCAAATAAAAAAAATATTATATTGCAATTTGTTCATTAGGAACTCAAAGCTTCTCCAATACTACATGGGTATTCGTCAAAGAATGATGAATGAGTACGCTCTACCGAAAATGGGTAACTGTGGAACACTGTTGAAGATGGAGCCTAGCATTGTTTATCCTACGTCGCATGTGAGCAGCCAAAAATACAGATTTGAAAGAAAAGCGGCCAAAAATAAATTTGAAAAAAAAATTTGACGTTTTTATTTATTTTTTCTTTTTTCAGGTCGATTTGAACATACGAATCAATGTGGAGGATGTTGATCACATTCATGAAAAGATTTACACTCTTAGCAGCAACAAGATCAATGTACGTGCTACCCTCGACGCTAAAGCAGCTTCCACAAATGAATCCATTCGTTCGTGGGACATGAACGTGAACGTTGATTTGTCTCCGGGACACCTAGTGAACAATTTCAAAATTCAGATGACGAGAGAGACTCCAGGAGAAAAGAATTTGAAGGTACGTCTAACTTATCTTAAGTTAATTGTCTTAATTCTAAAACAGATTTATTTATTAGAAATTACGAATAAATAAAACGCTCAATAAAGTAACACTAGCGATTATGAATGAACTTTTTGCTGGTACTTTTAGATTTGCTTAGATGCTCAGAAAAACTATCCAGTCGTCGAAACGGATCCCTTAAAGATCGACACCACTAAAGAAGAGACCAACAACAAGATTTCCATTACAGCAGGATTTACAGATGACGATAAGTGTGTTCGTGACGATATGATGATTGTGATGACTCTCAAAGGCGAGATGACAGAAGAACAAAAGAGGCAAATGACGCACAATAATATGCATGGTGCTTGCGTTAAAGACACCCAAAACCTGCAATTCCAGAACAAGCTGAGCCATATTCCCAAAACTATGAACTGCGTTCGTGAAACCTTACACTACACGACTCTGAAGAAATATACCATTAATACAACGTACAAAAAGGTAAGAGAAGATGAATTACTCATAACACAATTTCCTTCTAATAATATAAAAATATAATAATACAAAAAGAACTTAAGAATATCTTATATAAAACATTTATAATTGGCTCTTTAATTCTTTAAACGTCTCTTAAATATGTTTCTTAAAGTAATTTGTTATATGCTAGTAAATATTATATATAGAGAATAACATAAACATGGAAAAGACTGATAATCAATATTATCAATCAAATAGATGTTCTCAATCAAAGGAAAAAAATGTGATTCTCTTTCAGGTGCCTGTACAGATACTCTCGTATCTTGCTATGATTGAAGATTACATTCGCGCATCGCATTTATCGTACGTAAGGTATCTCGTAGATCGTGTTGAAAGCGGTAACGCGAAGATTATGATTGAGTACTCCTCCGATCTGAGTCATGTCAATACAACCATCGTTACTCCGGTTAACGGATATGAATACGTTCAAGTTCCCTTGCAGCAACATCTCTTCGAGGGCATGGTTGTGGACAGACCTGTGTCGCATCCACAATGGCACTCCCTCATGGACAATACTCGTTTCTCTGTAGGTGTTGTTCATAAGCTGATGCAAGGGCAGACTAGTAAGTCATTCTTCTCGACTAAATTTTTTTTTTTCTTATGTGATTATCATAGTAAAATTTTCAGTTAACAATGAAATAATGTGATTCCTCTAATAAAAAAAATTCTTATATCTTATAATATTTTAAAGAATTTATTTTTATTTATCATATTTCAAATTTATAAAGATTTCTGAAAAATACCTTAAGATTTTTCAGATTGTATCAGAAATTGTAGGATGGAAAAATCTTATAGACTTAGAATATTTCAGAATTTACATATGAAAAATACTAGAAAAGATTATACATTATATTTTCTAGTATTAAATTTCTGTACCGAAAATTGAAGCAATAATTTTATTAAATTATCTTTTTCTCGCAGAGATCTGCACTGTTTATCCACAAGCATTAGTCACTTTGGACGAGGGTGTGATTCCATTCGTAGTTTTCGATAAATGGACCCTTGTATCCGCTGACCACATTGACTGGACATATGCTGTTTTCGTGAAATCCGTGCAAGGTACCAAATTAGCCATAAAGATGTATGTTGCCGATCATGAAATGGAGATTGTACCAAACGAGTTTAATACCGTCGTTACGGTTGATGGCAATGTAATCAACCAGCATGAGAAGGGAGTTGTAATACCAAAAGACGAACCAAAGTCTTACGCGTTAAAGTAAGTGCGACAATTAATCGATCAGAATTTAATATAGAATTTAAGAGAAATTGGTCATATTAAAATAAATACAACTTTCGCTTGCAGACTTACCGAGAACTATGGGCATCTTGTGATCCAATCTCAACGCGTACCAATACTGATGATGTGGACCCCCGACAGCGTGTCCGTGATACTGGATACTACTTTGCAAGGTCATGTGACCGGCGTGTGCGGACACATGGACGGCACGCATAAAGAGAAACTTCCCAAGATTTACACCGTTATGAATCTTTAATTATATAATAATAATACAATTTGAATTAAAAAAATAGAATTTTTCTCAAATTTAAGTCCAAATACTGAGTACTGTTTTAAATAATATAAATAAATTTAGAGCACAATTTTTATTATTTTATTTTTTAATAATACTAACAAAATATAGTGATGATAGCGTAGGAAAGAAAGAGAAGCAACACACAATAAACTTTTAATTTGTACAATTATTTATATTAATTTAATTACCTCTTCAATTCTCCCCCCTTTTGAAAGTTATACTTAAGAAACGTTAGTGACAGCAAGTTATGATTGTCATTATCGCATTTTTCTAAAGGTCAGTATTTATATTTTTCAGGGTTGGGTAAGTTAATGTTTTTTTTAAACTAAATTAAATTAAAGTTGGTTTATAAAATTAATAAAATTAAGTTAAAAGTTGAAGAAATAAAGAATTAACTTAATCAAAGTTAAGTTAAGATCGAATTAACTTAAGTTTAAAAAAAAGATAATTTTGAAAAAAATTATTTTTAAGATCAGAATTTCCTAATTTTTCTTAAAATGAAATTACTTTAAATAACACGTACAAATATAGATTATTAGGTAAATTTAATTTTATAGTCACATGTAAGTTACTTATATATAATAAGAGTCACACCATATAATTTTATTAAATTTTCGGCGTTTTAGAAAAAATCTTGCGAGAGAGAAGGGTATATGTTTGCGCTATTTCTCTTTCTTTAACCTGTATCTAACTTTCTTTAACTTCTGAAACGACTGCTCATGCATGTTTACGACTACATCGACTAGATATTTGTTACAAAAAATATACGTAAAAATTAAAAAAAAAAGGGTGGATATGCATACTGTTCTACAACAATTCTTCATTTAAGGCTCATTTCATATTTATATTGCTGAAATATAACGTTTATGGTACCTACAATTAGTGCGATTAAAATATAAACAGGAATTGATAAAACCTAGCGAGTCAATAAAATGATGTATGGTGCAACTCTTATTATAATTTAATAATAAACTTTAATTTACTAACTTTTTCTAAATTAATTCTCTAATGTTTGATTTTAAAAGAAAAAAGATATTAGCATTAAGAGAGATAAAAAAATTTTTAATTTAAAGAAGTTAATAAATTATAGTTTAAAAGCAACTAAATTAAGTTAAAAATTAATGTATTTAAAATTAATTAAGTTAAGTTAAAAGTTATTAACTTTTTAACTTCTTTTTAACGTTTTAACTAGTTACTATCCAACCCTGATATTTTTTATTTTAAATATGTCGTAATAGTTATTTTACCGAGCCATGATCGACACGTAAATAATTTCTGGAACATAGAATTTGCAATAATAGTAGTGTCTTAAATTAATTTATTAACTGAAAAATTAAATAATGATTAATGAGATATTTAGTACTTTTAGCCAAAGCTTTAGCACAAATTGTTTCACGATATTAAGAAAATTTGCATGTATCTTTATATAAAGAACATATATTTGATCAACCTTTATTTATATATGAATTATTAAAAAGAATAATGAAAATGGAGGACATAACGTTGGAATATAATTAAAAATATCCCATGCGAATAATTACTAATTACGTTTAAAAGAACCATGTAAGTAATACAGGATTGTGCCCGAGATGCCACAAAGCAAAACGCGAAATGTACGGCGATACCTGTTTATCAAAATTATGTAAAATACGAATAACCGAATAAATCGTGAATATTTTTCATACGTAATAATTGGGTATTCGAACGGCGCCCAGCGAACAGCGAGGGAAGGGTCACGCGGCGAAAAAGTGGGGGAGAGTGTCGCGCGGCGCAGTGGTTAACTACGTCATCACTTCGGCATTCGCTCGGCGATCTCGGAGGGAGACGGACGTGTTTTACGAGTCGCTCCGCGTGTCGCATTAATAAATGAAAATTAGACATCTACGAACGCGAATAACGTAAGATTTTTGGTTTATTTCTTAGATTCATTACACACATACACAGCTTATGAATATTTTAGATATTTTATGTGTTCTTACATACGTACGATATAAAAATGAGATTCTTATTGTTAGATATTCCAAACAGTGGCTTCACTTTGAATCGTATAATTCTGTCATTTTCGTGTTACTCCGCATTCTTAATACGGAAAAAGTAACAGATAAATTATATATTTAAATTACATATCTCTCTAAATGTATGTATGATATCACATTAAACGACTCGCGCCGCTAAAACTAGACATATATAAGAAATTGTTTTCGGAGAACATTAAAAATATAAAGAATATGTTATTTTATTACTTCGTAATATATTAATTCGTTAATATTTGGATAATTAGACGGTTGGCGCGCGACCTTGGGGTGGGGATGGCACGGGGTGGCACGGAGCGGCGCGTCACATTTACGCGTAGTTATCGCGCAGTCTTTCCCTTACCGACATTCGTACAAGTAGGTAGTCGTGTCGCGTGCGGCACATTACTCTCTTTTCCACATTACTTTTTCGAATGATAACGAATCTATTAGTAGAGCGCCCGTCCTTCTCGCTCTATTTAGCTTGTAAATACAAGCGAGTAATAGAGCGAAAAGGACGGTCGCTCTCTTTCTCGCTGTCTCGCTTGCTCTCGCGCAGCGGCGATGTCGGCCGACTCGGTGCCAGTAGGTGTTTGCTGGGTGGATATAGAAACGGTGGGGCTGATTTTCTGTTGTGCCGGGGACTAAATGTGCATCACTGAACGTACCCTCGACACCCTCGTCGTTGATTTATTTGAAAATGAACGAACCGCAGTCGGTTCGTCGCGTCGCGCGTTGCTTCGGGAGTGTCGTTCAAGTATCGGACTCAAGTTATAGTCCGCGCGCGATTAGTATATTATTCGCGAATGTTTTACGCGAGTGTCTTGTGCAAGATATCAACCACATTCTGAGAGGAGGAGGAGGTCTGGGAGAGACATCGGGCACCGGTGGAGCAACTTTGCAGTAAATATTATTTTTTACTTGTATAAAATTAACTTTTTTTTGCTTGTAAATGTATGAATGCTATTGTAATTGAAATTTCTTCAATTTACAGAATGTCCGTGGTTATGGCCATCCCTAGGTTTGCATATAATTTATCAAAATACATCCTAGGATTGGGTTAGAGCAGGAGAACGGACGCTAAGTGCAAACTAATGTAACTCATTGTGATGTTAAATTGTTAAAAACGTTATTATTGTCATCGCGTTCAAAATACAAATTTCGATGTCTCCCTGCGTTGGCGATGATTTTTAAACAATTTTATTTTACAATGATTTAAAAATAATTATTTTTAAATCATTGTTAAATAAAATGATATAAATATTATTATTGTTAATTATAAATCATTGTCAAGAATAATAAATTATAAATTATTTCCAATAATCATACATTATTGTTAATAATCATAATTATTGTCAATGATTATAAATTATTCTCAATGACTATAAATTATTCTCAACGACTATAAATTATTGTCAACAATTATAAATTATTGTCAACAATTATAAATTATTGTCAACAATTATAAATTATTGTCAACAATTATAAATTATTGTCAATAATTATAAATTATAGTCAATAACTATAAATTATAGTCAATAACTATAAATTATTCTCAATGACTATAAATTATTGTCAATAATTATAAATTATTGTCAATGACTATAAATTATTGTCAATAATTATAAATTATTGTCAACGACTATAAATTATTCTCAACGACTATAAATTATTCTCAACGACTATAAATTATTGTCAATAATTATAAATTATTGTCAATAATTATAAATTATTGTCAATAATTATAAATTATTGTCAATAATTATAAATTATTGTCAATAATCATAAAAATAAACTATTTTCATTTAATTTCGGTATATACTGTACGATACAAACGACTGTCAAGTTGCCTCCGTGGCGCAATCGGCTAGCGCGTTCGGCTGTTAACCGAAAGGTTGGTGGTTCGAGCCCACCCGGGGGCGTTATTTTTTTTTCATCGTAAACATTAGTAATTTATCCTTGTGATATTTTGGTCGATAACCTTATTTGTAAAATCGAAATAAATAATGAACTCTTATCAAGTAACATGTAATTAAAATTGGCAATAAAAAAATTTTAATTAGAATTTTACAAGGTTCCAGCAATTGGATTATGTATATAATTTACACAGGTAGTAATTACAATAATCGCAAAACAATATGACGCGCTTGTTTGTCATAGTATATAATGACATTATTTATGTTTATATATTATTTTCACATTTGCAAATGTATTCTTACAATTAATATTTAAAATTGCCGCGCGAAGTTACGATTGCCAACATCGAAGATCGTGGCGCTTGTGTAGCTTTCCAAGTTCCCAGATCCAATTACCAAGAACCAGGAACTCCATTACTCCATTTTCCTCTTATCGATTCCACGCGAGAAGAAAACTGAATATTTCAACCGGAGTCACGATTTATTACGTAAGAATCAATTGTTTTTATTATAAGCACTAGCGATTATTATCAATTTTCATTTAATTATATATTCGTATGACATAAAGAGAGGAACACTGAGATTAGATCGGCGAACAAAAGAATTTAGTTTCACCGGTTGTGATACACTCATTATCGCTTCATTTAGGAAATATAAAATAATAGATGATTACGCAGTGTCATAATTGAAAAATCTTTAATACATTTATTATTGTTATTTCCTTCTCTTTCCTTTTATTTCTTTGTTAAAGATATGCGTATTTCAAATATATTTTTCTCAATATTTTAGGTTAGAATAGTATCATGGTTATAAGGAATTTATTATGATAATATATGACAAATTTCATCATCTCATATTATATAATAATATTTTATGTTTTGTAGGTAGCATACATTTGATCATGGCAGCACAATTTTTTAATCGATTGGGTCAACTCGGCCTAGGCGTAGCACTGACCGGTGGTGTTATTAACTCTGCATTATACAATGGTATGATATCTTCTATCTCTATATGATAATCAGTTATGTCATTTTCTTAAGTTAATA